CACGGCAGTCTATCTATAAGTACAGATGAAAATAAAATTAAAGTGTCTGTTTGTAATATTGAAATAACCGCTATTTACTATATACATGCATAAATACGATACATTTAGCAAAATAACGCTTTTTACCAATTTTGTCTGTCTGTCTGTTTGTACTAGCTAATCTTTGAAATGGCTGGAACGATTTTGACGGGACTGTTGGCAGGTAACTAGAAGATATATAGACTAATAGGACATGGAAATCAAAAGAAAATTAAATTTAAACAGAAGTTTATCTGTTTGCTTAATTATTTCTGATACTGATACTGTTTATTCCAGCCCTAGAGTCTGTAATCTACTTGAAGGAAGAAATAGTAAATTAAGACAATGTCAAAATATCATATAAAATGCACCAACTCCTGCGAACAGGTACCCATCTTTTCTATTTAACACCTAGGGTGATAGGCATACGGGTATCCGTATGGATAGGAAGACGGCACCGCGGAGAACTTAACGGATTACCGAGGCTCCGGCTCGACGTCCAGGAGAAGGAACGGGGTGGTTTTTAGTCAGTAAGAGTCTGACACTCCCTCCCGCCTCACCTAGACGGGAGCAGTCATTCGATGATTCCCCCCCCCCCTCCTTAAAAAAAAGGCTTGCTATTGGCTGGCTGATGTTATTTGTTCATACATTACCTACTGGTGAAATACTTCATGCGAAAGTTTGTGAGGATGTATGTGTTTGTCACTTTGTCACGCCAAAACGGCTGAAGGGATCGGGTTGAAATTTGGAAGAGGAGAGAATGATCTGGAGTAATACATACCTAGCCCACTTTTTGTCCCACGGGAACGCGGGCGAAGCCGCTGTTAGAAGCTAGTACTAGATAAAAGTATAACACAACACAACATCACGCCTTATATCCCCGAAGGGGTAAGCAGAGATGCACATTACGGCACTTCGTGTCACTGTACAATGTAACACCCACTTTTCACTATTTTAAGTTATAAGTCCCATGTAATAGGGGTGAGCCTATTGCCGTATACCGGGCACAATTCCAGACTCCGTGCTACCACTGACATTTTTTTTAAACTCAGTAATACTTTGCCCGACCCGGAAATCGAACCCGAGACCCCCTGCCCGGTAGTCGCAATTGCGACCACTCGGCCAACGAGGCAGACTGCAGTTTAGGAAATTTAATAAAACATTTTTTATAGCCTCCGCAACCCGAACCGCCCCCTGAACGAGTTGAGACTGATCAATCGGACCTGATAGCATTGTTAAACCCAAACAGATTATGCAACTGTGAAGTAGCAGGTCGTGCCCTCAGTAACGACATTCCTAAATACTTGGGCATGCAGCATATACATAATCCACCAAAACCAGAAAAAAATGACGAGCCGCAGCCGAAGCCGAAGAAATCTCCCTGCGAGAAATCATTAAAAATTATTACTCCAAAAAGAAAATAAACACGAAGTCGAATATCAAATTCTTTTAATATGTATTTGTTGAAACACTGTACAAATTATAATACACAAAATACGCGTCTTACATAACGCGACAAGTAGATAGTAAGGGAAATTTATAAAACGTACACTGCTTTTTAATACAATTTATAAAATAGTTAAATGAAACGAAATGAAAGTTGACTGTTTTCGTTTTTAATACTTTTACTGTTTTTATCATCACTTCCATACGGTTTGTACAAATACAAAGAGTCAAACAAGCCAGGACAATAATACTTTAAAACTGTTTTATAAATTTTTGTAATAAAATCGGCAACAGATATATATTTTAGATTTAAAATCACTCGTCCATATTCTCCACCTTGTCTTTATTATTTTCTTCTTCTTGCTGAGCCTTATTAAATTTCTCACACATGTAATTCCAGTATTTGCTACGAATTTTGTCATATTTTGTTCCCAACGCTTGACATAGTTCTACGGCTCTATGAGCGTTATGTAGACAGTTGGTCTCGCCTTTTTTAATCGCTTCGTCACAAATATCTATAATGAAGGCTAACAAATAAGGAGACCGACACTTGTTCTTGTAAAGTTCTTCACAAAAAGACGTAACTACGGCGTTCCCGCTTAATCCTCTTTTGTCATGTATTAAGACTCCTTTAAGGTAATTCCAAGCACTTTCGTTGTTCTTGATGAATTTAATTTTTTCCAGTGTATAGCAGATTTCTCTTTGTACATTGAGGTCGGACCAGCCCAAGTGGTTGTTAACAACAAAGTACCGTTGGTTCCACGCTGAGTTGTTACGCACGTCATCTGTGATAAGGTTATCTACGAAATCCATTTCCTTTTCATAGAGTCTGTAAAAAGATTAGAACTTTAGTTTAACTAAGAGTACAAAAGACCTTGTAGGAATCATGTCTTTTAATCATTTGATACATTTACAATAGTTGTGATTTATATGGTTGATAAAGATTAAATTGTTAGACACAAATGTAACAGCACTACGACCGACAACAAGGTTGAATTTAACAACCCACCAATATTCTCAACATGTTTGTTTTAGTAAAGTCTCTGTTGGCCAAACAAAATAGGGTTCTATGCACCAAGAGCTACTAACTAAGTGGTACATACCCGAAAGTTTTAATAGCCCACTGTCTATGCTGCCACGCATGATAGTTCTTAGGGTCCTGCATCAAGGCATCTCCTGTTAACTCCAGCTCCTGGGTTGGATCTTGAAGCCACTCAACCAGTACTCTCCGATGATGCCAGACCTATGTAGTATGAATATGTATTATACACAAATAATAAATATATGAAATATGTGAATCTTTCAGAAAGTGTACTCAGAGAGGATTCTTTCTTATTCTTTTTTTTTGTTTTTTAAACATTGCCCCACAGTAGGATTTTTTCCTGTATCGTGGGTGCATTTACAAACATACAAGTTCACATACACATGACACCCAGACCCAGAACAACAATCTGTGGATCACACAAATATTTTTCCGTGCGGGAATCGAACCCGCGACACGTTGCGCGGCAGCCAGTTGCCCAGCCACCTCGTACAATCTAAATTCATTTACATACTTTTTAAATAATACATACAGCAGTGATCTGTACCTGGCTGTTTGATAAGCCAATGACTTATTATGCCTATAGTACTTTAGTCATAATGAGTTTGCATTATATTTATCTAATGTAAGACTTGTGTCCTGATTAAAAGAATTACAGTCATTATGATTCTAGTGTAGTTAAAGGAATCCTCTGCAAAATTGGGTTACCTATTTTTGTTTTAACCTTGAGTGTTATTATTATTTATTATACAATAATATGGACCTGCCTGCGCAAGCAGCCAAGTGTGTTAAACCTTTGGTTCCAGTTGTCATTTTATGATATAAGACAGACATATCAGGTGGTTGTAACTCCCAGGAATAGAGTATCAATCTTAGCAGCTAAATATCATTCAACCAAATCTGTTTTAAGACACACCAAACCCAATTTTTTTTATAAATTATAGGTTGACATTTAGCCACTATCTTGGCTGGGAAAAGGTAAAGATAGAGACAACATTCTACAAGATATAAAGGTAACAATTTACCTGATAGTTCTTAGGAGAATTCTTAATTACTAACTCTACATAATCCAACTCAGATCTCAAATCTGTCCCCAAAGCTTTGAGCAGGTCTCTCCTGAAACAATAAAATAAAAGATTTAAATATCACAATTTTAACTCCTCATATTTTGATGGTGTAAAACAAACTTTATTCCCATGAATTTCGGAGGAATTTCCCACTTGCAATATAATTTAAATTGGATAGTTACTTCTCACTTTTAAAATATACAATATCGTTAAATAAAGTAGGTAATCTTGCAAATTGTTAACTAAGGAAACCAAACTTCCTAAGCTAATCTGTAACATTCAATTTGAAAGATTGAAGTGAACTCTATTGCGGTCCTCCATGTTGTTGGTTGCTGCTGATTTTTGGTTACGTCAACCATTGACGGTGATCAAGCTCACATCCGAAGTTCGAATTGACAGTTATACCCTAGCTGGTTTATTTTTTTTACTTTTACTGACTTGTTGGTCCGTTTGATAACAAAATGAAATGTAATGGAATGCAGTACTAAAAAGTGTAAAGTAGTAGTAGGCCTTTATAGAACTGTTTATAAACAGTAGTTTAAAACTCTGGTTACTAAACACAGGTGTGATATCATATTACATGTGCAATACCCATAACTAACCAATATACCCAGGCTGATAAGTGCTTGGCCTTAAATTATATGTCAATTAACTCCATGACATGCAGCACCTTGCAATCATAAATGTTTATATAACTGTACATTATGTAATTATAACATCAACAGGGATACAAGATCAAGTTATTTTGGTGCTAACTAATTGACTGGGTTGGCGATCATCCAGGCCCAAATAAATTTATAGTCCATTATTCTACTACTTTAGCAATTTTTGTTTTTTATAGTAAGGTACTTGAATTAGAAATTCTTTCTACTGACCTGTACTGCCATACAGTATAGTTAGCTGGATTCAATTCTACAGCATCTTTTGTCAGGTGTAGTGCTCTCTCAGACTTCTCATTGTTTTGGAGCACGGCTCGGAAATAGTCATACACATCAACAACTGAAATGAAATGTCATAATTATTGAATCATATTCCATTATAACATCATGTTGAGATTTATAAATCAAATTAGAAAAGAAATTGGTTTTAATAACTGTAAACAAGAACAACAAAGATTATCAAATTGATGTTTATAAAAAACATTCAAGTTATGGTAATTACATGAGTCATTAAGTTTTTATGACTTGAATGTCCTTTCGAAACTGAAGGTTAAAACATAAACTGATGTGGCATGCAGTAGAATAATGCAAACAGTACCTATGTTATGTGTAAGCAGTCATTGTGAGCTAAGTTATACTTGTTTGAACAACAACTTGCTTGGTATACTTACATTTTTCTGAATGAGCGATGACGACGACTAGGTTAGGACCTTCATCCTCCGGCACTGGGGTCACATCATTCCACTCCGGACGATCTTTGTAGTAAGTCCACGCAACATCGCTGTCCCCGCTGTCAGACATATTCCTTGCTCTTCTAAACTACGACTAAACCACCAGACAATCTGCTCAAGTGTATGTTTACACTATCACTGGCTGTAAAGATAATACATGTGCACACAACAGTAACGGGACGTGAATAAACAAGCGTAACTATCTAGGCCGGAGGTATTACTGAATTAATTAAACGAGTAGTCTCGTATCTTTATTTATACACACAGGTAATTTTTATTTTATTTATTGTGATTAGTTTCTTGGCAAGTGGAAAATGGCAAAGAACTATATACGTCTACGACAACAAAACTGACAAACTAATTTGATTGAAATGACGTTTGACGTCATTTACGTCATCTGTATCATGACATCTGTCGAGCTGAGAATACTGGCATTTTTAGCCACAGTAAAAACAATTAAGAAATTGATGAACCGCATGTGCACCCCAAGTGCACCCTTTGATGGCGAAGGTTCTTGTGGTGACGCATAAAGTGGTCTAATATTTTTTTAAACGGTTATTAATAATTATTTTTGAGTAGACTATGGGTATAATCACAAAGAAAAGTGTTATAAGTAAAGTATAATAAATGTCTGGATTGTGGATTTGCTTTAAAGGTAGGTAAATAAAAAGAATATGTTTAGTAATAAGTATATTTTAAATAAATTATGTTAACAACTAACTGGTAACAAGCTAAGAGGAATCATTCTATGCTTTTATTTTACAACTTTAAATGTAAGTAACATTTAACAATATTAACTTGTGTTTCTTTACCAGCCGTAGGCGAGGCCAAGTCCATTAGTGTAAGTCATGTGAGACACGGTTGGCGCAGCAGAGTAAGCCACTCCAAGAAGACCAGCAGTTGTAGCAACCTTCAAAAATAAGATACTTTTAATTTATAGTTCTTTCATAACCTTTGTCTTAATTTCTCAATGCGAGATTAAGGTTTTTACCTAACTCAGGATCTAATTGTTTCATATTACGTAATCCTTTAGGTACTACATTACCTTTTTAGGAAGCCATCATGTTTGCAGATAGGTAATTTTTATTTTACCCCTTATAGAATATGAAGAGCTAATTTGTAATAAAAAATAAGTTTGTCACTCCATTTCAAGTGCCACTTAGGTAATGATTATAAGGGACATATTCAGCGGTTGATGGCAAGTATGATTCATGAACTTACATTTACTACTGACTAGATTATGCCATAATTTTGTTTTGTTTATACTCACTTTAGCCACAGGGGCGGCGACGCCGACATGCGATACAAGTGGTGATGCAAAGCGAGTGTACGCAGGCGCAATGGCCACACCAGGGTTGCTCACACGCACATCAGATTTACGGACGCTCGAGAATGGAGTGTCAATTGCTTTCGAGTATGTTGATACCTGTTTCAACAAATAATATTTCATTAAATATTTTGGCATCTAATCGAATCATTACATATTATATACTAGCTGTGCCCGCGACTTCGTTCGCGTAAGTAGAATAGTGACTATGAGCAGCGTTTTTTTTTTAAATATATTGTAACAACTTTTCCTCGTCAGGTAAATAAAACAGCTGCTATAGTGATTAGAAGGTATAATAAAATATAAAGATATACGATCAAGTGGGTTCTTTAATATTCACTAAGACCAACACGTGAAAAGTCCATCAATCAATACCACTGCCCTGATAGATCGGCGAATGCTTTGTCGGCCACTAGGGTAGTCCGGTGGTCGTCGTAGCGTAGATGGTAAGTTGTTGTAGGGTAGTCCAAATAATATCAGCGAAGTCCGGCACCGGAGCGGTGAACCCTGGAATAGTGTAAACCTTCCACTTTAACACTATCCTCAATATTACATGACTGCCACACCCCTATGTGCATCCTACAAAAGCGGCGTGATACTACGAGGCACAGGTGGTAAGGATTACATAAAATAGTGATCAATGATGAGGCAGTCAATGTACATAAAAGCAGCAGAAAGATAGCCAGTATAAAAATATATGATACTACAAGCTACTAATTGAACAAACACTAATTTATAGCAAGGTAGTTTAATGAGAAAATGAGCCCAACGCATATTTATAAGATTTACAATTGTACTGAGATAGCCTTACTTAATAGATATAATTTTGCAACACTTACCCGATTCGGGGTGAAAACGATACAATCAATTTTTATAAACTTCAACAGCCGCGCAAGTACTAGAT